TGCTTTGATAATAGCAATAATTCTGAAAAACAGCTTTACACCTTGGACAAAGTAATGGAGGCTTGAATTTCCCAGTGGGTCTTCTCATGAATTGGTAATAAGAGTTTAACCTTATTGCTGGCATTATGGCTTGGTTATATAGGGTCCATGTGAAGCTGAACTGGTTAGAAAAGACAGATTTTCAGGTAATGAGTGAATAATTGTTTAATGAAATATATATGAGTTCAGCTTCAAACAATTTTTTTTTGTCATAAGTGTTTGAAATATTTAAAAATTGTTCAAATAATTTGAGAAAATATAAAAAATCAAAGCCAGATAAATTCAGTCTCAATTATCCGCCGAAACCGATTCCATTGGCCGTAAAAGGCAAAATAGCAGTGTAAATTACTTGAATGGATCAATGAAAATCAGTGATGCCAACAGGTGTTTGCAAAAGGGTGAACATGTCCTGCCCTACCGGAAACACCCGCCACCCACATTATGTGCATAAAAGGGAAAGTGTTTGTTTGTTGCCTAGCACTGCAGCATAGTAGAATTCCTGCCATAGGAAAACGTCAGTAACCCATGCTTGCCGTAAAAGGCGACTATGCTTGTCATAAGAAGCGACTGACGGAATCAGGTGGTCATGCTCCCTGACTTGGTTGATGTATGTCATCGAATCTCAATTCCGTGGATCGATGCTCCAGAGGTCAATCACGGGATTGTCTGATTTGAGTCAACCCCAAAGTTGATAGGACTGATGCATGGTTTGGGCAGACTTCTTCAGATTTCTTGTCTGATATGGGGCACAGTTTGATATGTCCCTTATACCAAGCTCTTTGATCAAACAATTAATGTAGAGATGCTTACATATACCGGTAATGGTTATGTTATTTTAGGCCTTGTCAGAGGGAACAGCTTCAAACTTTCCATATAGGGCAGCCAGACTTTGGATGACAGCTGGCTGGGGCAGAAGTCTGTCAGAGGTCCTGGGCCCCGTTCCTCAAAGCAATCTTAGCGCTACGATGATTGTAAGCCTATGTTAAAGTATGGGACTTACGATCACCTTAGCGCTAAGATCACTTTGAGGAACGGGGTCCTGTATTCTACCAATGACAACATCAAGCACAGACTTAACCCGTACTGAAAGAGTGAATGAGTGACTTGGGTTTAACGCTGCTTTTAACAGTATTCCAGTTATATCCCGGCGTGTCAGCTTAATGTGGGAGGAAAGCCCGAAGTGATGCAGGTCTTAGACGTTTACCACATCGGTGAAACTCACGAGCATGGGTATGGTGCTGACAAAGCTAGAAACATAATCAGGGCGAACTGGGATTCGAACCCACAATCATTGGTTTCTGGCGTGCCGAAGTGACGCCACTCTGCACAGCGAATTACAGCGCCTTAGAAGACTAGACAACCAGGTAGTCTGTCCAAACTACTGTGGGCAATATTTGAATAACTGACGAAGGTTATGACAGGTTACAAAACCATACCAACAGCCGAACAAAAGACACTGGATCTATTAATCATAATGTTCAATAAGAAAACATGAGGTGAGGTGAGGTGAGGTGAGGTGAGGTGAGGTGAGGTGAGGTGAGGTGAGGTGAAATGGGGTTTAACGTCGCGTCCAAGATTATTGCACTTGTATAGCGACGTGCATGTACGTGTGTGTGTTTGTGTGGCTGCTTGTACTAGTCCGGACTGATGCCGATTTATAGTGCTAGCACACTGAGATACCATGCCACAGTTTAATATGAATACCCCACTCAGACACAGTATACTGACTCCGAGCCAACCAGTCCTTGTTTTAGCCCCTTAATTGCGAGCGCCAGACAGGGTAACAACAAGTACCATCTTTTAACGTCTTCTGGTATGACGGGGTCGGGGATTGAACTCCAGATCTTCCTCTCTGGGCGGACGCTCTACCACTAGACCAAGAAAACATGAACACACAGATTATGAGCTTACATTGTCTAGAAACACATAAATGGCGTAATGAGGGATTCTGTCCAAAAGTTTGATGTGTCGGACATGACGCAGATGGTTCAGTTCTGAACATCAATTTGGTCATTGGCACATGATTCCTGTATGAGAGAACACCTTGGTTTCATGTGGAAATTAGCTAATACTTTCCAAGAATGCTGAGGCTGCAAACTGAATTAGTTCATTCAAACACTGAATGTTAATGCAAGTGATCTCATTGAATTAATCTGCCAGTAGCCCCACTATGATCAAACCAGTGTCAGTTTCCAACAGGACACTTATTACAATGTCTAGACAAGCTCGGCCATCTTCAGATGACAGTCTGGCTGTATATACACCGTTCTTTATAAGGACCAGCCATTTTATTTTCTCAGGCTTCTGGGATCTTAAAATATAATGTTAAATTTATCGATCCTGGTCGGCAAATGGTATGTGTGCAAATATTAAGATAAAAATATATCTTCTCGAACAATAACCCCTCTCGAAATGTAAAATCCAATCATAATTGACCCCAATAACGAAAAAAATATTTTTTTCGAATCGTAATGGATTTTTTCGAAACTAACGCTAGTGATGTTAAAAATGTTGAGGTCAGGTAGGGAGTAGGTCCTCAGATTCTTCACATCCGACTATATAAGGCCAGTAAACTGGTAAGGCATATGAGACAAACAAATTAGGGATTATTGTTGCAAAAGGTTCTAAAGTCATATCAGCTCCGCTGCCATCTTTAGCCGTATTTCTCGTCATTTGAATATTAGTTTAAACCATAACATTGAATTATCCTAAATTCAAATATTAAAAGACACTTAAAAATATTTGAAAGCAAACATTTATATAAAGAAAAAGATATGAATTAGATATAAATATTAAGAAAAAGTAAACTTTTTCGCATCTTTTGTACTTTGTTTGTACTTGGATTCAGCGGTCGAATTAAACAATTTTTTTTAGATATTTAGATATCTTTATAAAATATTTGACGAAAAACCACTGAGGATAAAGAATTAATTATGTAGGTTAAGTAAGTAGCAATATTCCAGCAATATCACGACGGGGGACACCAGAAATGGACTTCACAAATTGTACCCATGTCGGGAATCAAAAAGGGTCTTCGGCATGACGAGCGAATGCTTTAACCACTAGGCTACCCGACCGACCCTTATGAAGGTTGTATTGAAAACAAATACTTCTTTCACCTGCCTGAACATTAGCCATATTGTTTTGAATCTTTAAAAGGATATGAATTACATCCTTGTCTGCAAAAACGAGTTATATTTTCTTCTTTAATGAAATGGCTGCCATGTTAGCATTTCAAACAGGGTTTTGTGAGATCCGGCAAATGTTAAATGAAGTGCATGCTGATAAAATATTTAACATTTTATAATATAGCATATATAGCCGTGTTAAATCAAGCAAACAATTATCTGTAGGTTATAGGGTGAAAAGGTTCTTTCTTGATCATTGATTTCTGATGGTTATGATACAGGAGTGAGTGAGTGAGTGAGTGAGTGGGTGGATGAGTGAGTGAGTGAGTGAGTGAGTGAGTGAGTGAGTGAGTGAGTGAGTGAGTGAGTGAGTGAGTGAGTGAGTGAGTGTGTCAAACTGGGACTCAAATCAGTAGGTTTCTGTCACACCAAAGGGACACAACTCTGCACAAAGATGACCCCTTGTTCCCGTGGAGATAATTAATATTTCAGAAAACATGTGCCTGCATGTGTGTGTCTTTGCTTGTACTAGTCCGGACTGATGCCGATTTATAGTGCTAGCTCACTGAGATACCATGCCACAGTTTAACATGAATACCCCACTCAGACACAGTAAACTGACTCCAAGCCGACCAGTCCTTGTTTTAGCCCCTTAATTGCGAACACCAGACAGGGTAACAACAAGTACCATCTTGTAATGTCTTATGGTATGATGCAGCCGGGGATCGAACCCCGGACCTTCTGCTCTCCGGGCGGATGCTCTACCACTAGACCACAGAGGTCTGTGAAGCTGGTTAATAATGATAAATTGAGGACAATAAAAAGTCCTGTAATGAGTTCCTAACATTCAATATCCCATTTTTTCAAAACTGCATTGAAATTAAATATCAGATGACAGCTAGATGAAAAAGATATATTGTCAAGATAAGGCCTGTTGGTTATAAATGGTGGCCTGAAAAAATTCCACCTTCAAAATTTGATCAACTTTTTAAAATTCTATTTCATTACATCTTTGCAATCACATACAGAATACATCCCATTCAAGAAATAATGACACCATAAGACTGGCTTCCTTATAACCATCACTAGAAATCAAGTGAGGTAAAAAACATTGAAAACAATCAAGAACAAGATGACTTCAAGTTTTTTACTTTTGGCTATTAAAAAAGAGGAAATGTTTCTCAGGCATTGACATATCACTCTCAATTCTGCGTGTCAGCAACTTTTATTACCAAAAATAATATTTTTTTAAATTTCACATATAATACTATGTTATCCAAGACCTAGTCTGTCTTACAGACCCTGATACAAATATATATCAAATACAGCCCATGCAAGTCTATAATGTTTGGAAAGTCTAGATCACTGCAGTATCTGAAAATGAAGAGAGTCACTGGGCTCCTTTTTATTATATTTTTATTAAGATAACTAAACAACTGTTTTTTTATGTACGATATGTTCATTTCAGAGACTAGATTTTAGTCTATCCAAGACCCAAAATGCTTGACAACTGACATTTTATTAAAGGGTCGAGTCGAGTTCAGTGTGTGCCCAGTTGTGTTTTTTGGTACTCTTGGTAGGTAAAAGAATAAGAACTGTTACTCTAAAAAAATAAACATAAAGTCTTACTGCCCTCCTCACAAAAATTAGCCCGAGAAACATTTAATTGTTTTAGCCAGCCTAAACACAACATGCATAAATGATACCCATGTGTCTTGGGGGAAGATACAGGGGAAGATGCGGGGGAAGATACAGGGGAAGATGCGGGGGAAGATACAGGGGAAGATGCGGGGGAAGATGCGGGGGAAGATGCGGGGGAAGATATAGGGGAAGATGCGGGGGAAGATACAGGGGAAGATACAGGGGAAGATGCGGGGGAAGATACAGGGGAAGATGCAGGGGAAGATGCGGGGGAAGATACAGGGGAAGATACAGGGGAAGATGCGGGGGAAGATACAGGGGAAGATACAGGGGAAGATGCGGGGGAAAATACAGGGGAAGATGCGGGGGAAGATACAGGGGAAGATACAGGGGAAGATGCGGGGGAAGATACAGGGGAAGATGCGGGGGAAGATACAGGGGAAGATACAGGGGAAGATGCGGGGGAAGATACAGGGGAAGATACAGGGGAAGATGAGGGGGAAGCTGCGGGGGAAGATACAGGGGAAGATGCGGGGGAAGATGCGGAGGAAGATACAGGGGAAGATGCGGGGGAAGATGCGGGGGAAGATACAGGGGAAGATGCGGGGGAAGATGCGGGGGAAGATGCGGGGGAAGATTTGGTCCTGGTGTACGTGGCTACACCTTTCCCTGGCCAGTTCATCCCTGGGAAAGGTTTAGCCAAGGACCCTTCTTCCCTGGGGGACGCGATTCGCTGTGCAGAGTTGCGTCCCTTGGCCACGCCAGAAACCTATGATTGTGGGTTTGAATACCAGTTCTCCCTGATTATGTTTCTAGGTTTGTCAGCAATATACCCATGCTCGTGGGGTTCACCGAAGTGGTAAATGTCCGAGACCTGCATCACTTCGGGCTTACCTCCCACATTAAGCGATATAACTGGAATACTGATAAAAGCAGCGTTAAACACAACTCACTCACTCTTCCCAGGGGACAAAATAGCCAAGGCTAAACATTCCCCTGGGAGGAACTGGGGAAGGTATGGCTTGGTACTCCAGCATCCATGCTGGTGATAAGGGATGACACCAATCCAGTTCACGTTGTTCTTTGCTTGTTTGTTTGTTGTTGAATGCTGCACTCAGACAACAAACAAACAATGTCATGGATTTCAACGTCTTTATTCTTTGATAAGAAGCACCTGAACAGTAACGTCACAGAAAGAACAAAGAAGCTGGAGTCTTTGGAATCTTCGGCATTTTGAGTGAGTGAGTGAGTGAGTGAGTGAGTGAGTGAGTGAGTGAGTGAGTGAGTGAGTGAGTGAGTGAGTGAGTGAGTGAGAATAGTATTTCATTATATCAGTGCATGTCAGCTTAAAAAAAATAGGAGGAAAGCCGGAAGTGATGCAGGTCTGTGACATTTACCACTTTGGTAAAACCCATGAGCAATGCACCGTGCTGACAAACTTAGAAACATAATCAGGGCGAATATGGCCTAAATCCAAAGATCACAGATTCCTGGAACTCCTAAGGGATGCAACTCTGCCCACCCATGCTCCCTAGCCAATAAGAGCATGATAAACCAGAACTAGGTAAATGTGGTCATTTGACATTGAAATGGACCCAAGGGAATGATACACCATCTCATTCAGGCCAATCAACACTTGCTTCTTGTGGGACCTAATCTGCCAAAATTCTGAACATCCCAAGACCTAATGGGCCAGTTCTTCCGTTGGTTCTGATTTTGTCCATCGTCCTTGATGTGCTGGTATTAAGGTCGGCAGATGAAATGTCAATGGAACATTTGCTTCCACAAGGACAAAGTCGTTAATATTCCTCAAGGGAACAACCCATTACCGACGTTTTCAAATCTTAAAATTGTAAAATTCTCATAGATGTTAACCTTTAAATGAAAGTTTAGTTAATGTAATTAATAAAATTGTTCTTTGAAAAGTAAATTCATATTTGTTTTTCATCTTTTCATTTGAAAATGTTTGCAATGTTCCATTAAGCTTTCATGTCTCTTTAGATATAATCCTCACCAGAATGAACACGTTTAATTATCTACCTCGCTTAGGGTTTGTGAATCAGCTGGGAATGAAACAGTGAGGGGCAGTTGCTTCACTTAAAAGACGAGGAAGAACAGACAGGGCTATGATGCTCTTTCACTTGAAAACTGAATGTATACATACCGTATTCGACGTAATAAGCGCCCACGGCGGTATTTGCTAATATATTGGCTAGTGAACAATCCCAATTAGCACCCCTTCCGATTGATCAATGTTCACAAGACTTATTTATTCGCATACAATACGCACTCGTGTGTTATATGCACCCTTAATTATGGGCGATTAAATTCTAGAAAAATATATCTGTCGTACATAAACATTTCAGGCTGTCAGCATAAACCACTAAATTTATCTTTCAACTCTGTTTTTTTCCATCAATATAATATTCTAATAAGAGCCCCCTATTTCTAGTTTTGAGAGCGCCCTGGGCGCTTATTACGGGGAATACGGTAATGCGAATAGTTGTCAGGCCCCCTGACACTAGAATACGCCAGTCTCAATGATGTCCATCATAGAAAGTGAATTGTTAGGAATAAAATGATACATTTTGTTATGATACACTTTGTTGCGATACATTGCCCATCTTGACGGAATGCTACGGGCACAATCCCTGAAGTGTATGGTAACCAATCAACAATCAAGGCCATGACAGCTTTGATTTTTGAATTCCAAAAGGAATGTATGATATATGGTTCTGAAAACAGGACATTAAAAAGCATAAGCAATCAACAGTAAAGACCATTACGCTTTGATTCCTGAATTCCTACGTGGCTAACTGCTTACTGGGTACATTTAATATGGTTCTCCTAAGAGACATTAAAGTCACAGGCTTTTAACAGTCAAGACCACAGGAGTTTTGAGGTTTAAATTCCTATGTCATTCCCATGGACATGAATTCTTGGAACGACCAGTAGACAATATAACTTTCGTATCATAAATTGACATTTTGTTTTTAAGTGTGTATTTCTGTAACTGACATTATATTACCGTAACCCATTGTTACGTGTCGATTCCCAAATAGAAACAATATGTTAACCCAGAAATCTGAATTTAGTGTGAAACCAACAAACAACCAATAAATGGAATACAATTAGCAAATGTATTACAAAAGTGAACTAGGTTTACAAATCAACAAATCACTCAGGGGTGAGGAGTCAAACTACTAATCCATTCTTCGTTCCCCACCTGGGTAGATTTCTGGTGTCCCCCATAGTGATTTGGCTGGAATATTGCTGAAAGCGGTATAAACCTGACTGACTGACTGACTGACTGACTGACTGACTGACTGACTGACTGACTCCCTGACTCACTCACTCACTCCTTGACTCACTCACTCACTCACTCATCCATTCTTCGTTCCCCACCTGGGTACAATGTGTCAAGCCAATAACAAATATGTGCATGAGACAGGACATATTCATATTCACCCATGTCTGACATGATCATGACTGACAGTAAAACAGTAAAACAAAATCTGTCATTATTAAATTTGTGTGTGTATGTAAGACAAACGGGATGACTTCAACTGTACAATAGTCTATGTTCCCTTTATGTCGAGCAATATTCAAGCAGAATGAGGTACAATCAGGCATGCCCTTTCCTTCAAGACTTTCAAGTACGTAGCATCACACAGTTCTTGCTCAGAAGCTGTTTGATCAAGGTTCCAACATTCAAGGCCCCAGTAAAGGTTTCCAATAGTTTTGTGTTAGACACGGGGAAGACCTTTCCAACCTGACGCATCAGAGACAAAAATGATGTCCAATGCAATTCCCTATTTTGATTTGTACCATTATGTTCCCGTGTTTTTTCCAGTGAACAATTGACTTGCCTTTGCATGTGTTTGTGATGGGTGCAACTGGCAGAATGCGATACTCTCACCTATTTGTGAACGCCTGGTATCATCACTATTTGAAACACTTGCTTATGATATAGACAATAGCTTTTACTAATGGTTTAATGCCACACTCAACAATATCCCAGCTGTACGACAACAGCCTGAAAATAATTGAGTCTGGACCAGGCCATCAGTGACTGATATCATGAGCAACGATCCACGTTGTTGGGGTACACTGACATGACTTTACAGCAAGTTAGTGAGTCTAACCACCTGGATGCCCCTTTCAACCAGCATTGCTTGGGACCAATTCTAACCTGGAATTCACAAGGGTAAACGTTTCTACATGAATCTGAAATACAAGGTAAAAACAGTTCATGTCTTTGGCCCATATGTCCATACAATTGTTAACCCTTATTGCATCAAATTAAACAACTGAGACAAAAACATGCTCATCGAAAGTTTCATAAATCCTAAACCTAGCCATACAGTACCTTTTTAACAATCAATCTTAGTGAGTGAGTGAGTATGGTTTTACGCCACTTTTAGCAATATTCCAGCAATATCACGGCGGGGGACACCAGAAATGGGCTTCACACATTGTACCCATGTCGGGAATCGAACCCGGGTCTTCGGCGTGACGAGCGAACGCTTTAACCACTAGGCTACCCGACTGCCCCATCAATCTTAGTATTACTTGCCCATTTAAACCTCTTATGTAACCACCCTCAAGGTATCATGATTACTGCACGTATATACGTGCGTGCGTAATGCATGCATGTGTGCTTGCATGTGGCTGTACATGTCTTAAGCCGATTTTATAATGTGAGTCTAATGATGATACCATGACAGAGTCCAACATGAATACCCCACTCAGACACAGTATACTGACTCCGAGCCGACCAGTCCTTGTTATATCCCCTTAATGCCGAGCGCCAGACAGGGTAACAACAAGTACCATCTTTTAACGACTTTAGTCAGGATGCGACCGGGGATCGAACCTCTGACACTCCGCTCTCCGATCACATACTCAACACCATGGGGCCACCGAGGTGGACTAAACACATTTAAACAGTCAATAATCCTATGCCATAGTTTAAGTGGAATTCTGAATTTACAAGACAAACATCCTACAAACAGCATCAAAATCATTGATTGATAACTCCAATTTCAGCACCGACTAAAAACCCTCTTTAAATGCCAAAACCACTACTTCTTGCATGCAAAATATTATGAGAGTCTTCTCCATTCCATTAAACATTCCAGCAGAACTGCATGCCCAGACTTAGTCAATTGCGCTTCCATTACACTAAAACCAAATGCAGTGACCAAGTTCCTTCATATTTAAAGTGAGAGTATATTGGATTGGATCTAATGACATTCTGCTCTACATACTTGAAACCAGAGTCAGGGATCCAATTGGCAAAGAGAAGAGATTTTGCCTTTCATGACATCTAAATTACCACTTGGTACTGATGGGATACTGGATTTGGCGTTGGTAGCTGGACATTGAAATGCTGACCGCCAGAATGTCATTTTGAATGACCCAGATTCAGCAGATAGCCAGACAACCATGATCTAAGACCGAAACAGTGACACACTGGCTGTCTGAAATAACATGGTCTTTTGAGGGCTGTCACTTAAATATATGAAGATACTCATAATTGAGTTTGGTGGTGTGGAAAACAGTATTGCTTTCTGAACCAACCCAACCTCTTTGATCATGGAATCCATCATTGCCTCCAGATATGGTTCAGCATTGGAATCCCCCCCCCCCCCCTCCAACTCTATCGTAACGTTTGCCCTACAACAGTGTTTCAGAGG